AATTTTGTGGTACAGTTCTGAATGTAAAGTGCCAAAACATCGTATGTTGCTTGGGACTGTATCGGATTAAGTAAAAAACGGCATGTAAAGGTGTTGCAAAGACATACTGAGATGTTAAAACAATTCCAGGAAGCATTTTTTTCCTTTTAGGCTTAGGTCATATGTTTACGCTAGAGTTAGTGAAGTAGTTGAAATACATACGTCAGGTTCAAGCCTGCGAGAAGTCAGAGGCACCGTATGTGGTAGGTGCTCTGAACAGGGCTGTAATTTAGTCATATTTTCTCATTGAAATATGGCCCAGAAGTTAAAAGGGGGTTACGTGATGTACTATTAGGTAAAAATAATCCCCATAAACCACATTCCAGACATATTGATTAGAATAGTTTAAACTTGTAAATATGCTTCAGGCTCTTTACATAATAATTAGCATTCCCTCAACTATTAGCTACAAATTAAATAACCTAAAGCCTTTATGTGCATAAATGCTTTAGGTTAGAGCCAGAGACTCACCTGAAGGCATTTGCTAAGCACCAAGTTACAGGTGAACAAGCCACACTGTTAACTGTTCACAAGGAAATATCTTTATACAAGATGTTGTGACTCATTGGGATTCTTGGATTGGGGATTTTTCTTTCTTTGTTGGGGTTTTGCTGGGGTCGGTTTGATGATGATTTTTTTCTTTTACTTTTCAAGCAGTTGGTTTATTTGTAGTTATTGCAGCCACTGCAGTACCATGATCTTCTGGGCTGCTCTCATCACTGCTTTCAGTGGCATCATCCGGAGTGCTCGCACTGTCCTCCTCAGATTCTTCATTACTTTGTGCTACTCTGGAAACATTTTTCACAATTATAAAAGCAAAGCAACTTAAAATAAGAAAAATGGTATTTAAATTAAATGTCATTACCCTGAGGAAATGAGTGGTCTGTTGGGATTAGAGAATTCTTTCCCTGAGTCAACATCAAATGGATCTGGGAAAAGAAGGGGGAAAAAAAGTACGCATTGATGAAGGCAGCAAATGTTCAGGGTCTGCCCTCAGTTCCTCATTTTAAGAGATGACTGGCAGGGAGGGGAAGGCATAAGAAGTCTGTCTGAGCTTTCTGGTAAGTTTACCGTTGTTCAGTGAGAAACCAGGGAAGGTGAGAAACAGCTACCAAGTCCTGTGATTTTTTCCCCCCCCCATTCTAGTCTTTTCACTCTTCCATGCCCTTTGTGGCCCCCACCCACCCCAGGGTTTGGTAGCTCTCCAGGGGTGATCAGGCCGTACACAGAGTTTTCCAAGGTTTTTGGTAAGAAAACATGCATGTTCTCACAATGGTTTAGTTCCGGAAGGGCTATCTGGTTAGTTCATGTCTACTGAGAAGTGACGTACAGCTATGCAGGTTTATCTCTTGTGAGTAAGGGCAAGGCTAGATTTACTTTGGTTTAGACAGCTGGGGAAAACTGGTACCTCTTCTGGTACCTCAGAAAAGTCAAACAAGGCACAATTGCTTTGGTGCCACTGTCCACCCGGTAAATACGTAAGATTGTGGGTGGAAGTGTGTTTTGTTTGGTAATTTTGCCTCTTAAGAACTGTCTTTCCTTTGCTGTGACAGTAGTTACATCCCCCGAACAATGTAATGATTTCATCCAGCCTAGCATGTTATGGCAAGGAGATCAAAGTTCAGAGGAACTAAAAGCTGTCTGCCATCTCCTTACAGTGTGATCCACTAGCCAGTTTTTATGGCACTTAACCACTGTGAAAGGAAACCATTAATTAGGAGCATCTCTCTTCACATGTTCTTGATCATTTCATTGGCTTTTTTATCCTATTTAGAATGAGACCGAGCGCTCACCTGTGAATATAGCCTGAAATACTGGGATATCGCTAAGTCACTGGAAGAATTTGGGAATAAACTACTGTACTTATTTTCATTATTTTTATCAGCTATCATTGGCTATTTTCATTATTTTATAGGTCTGATTTTAAACATATTGATTAGGGATTGCATAAATATGTCTTTTCAAATCTTTCTTAGGCTTATATTTAACTAACTGCCTGTCAGACTGTATGCCTGTATTTCTCTTGTAAGTCCTCCTGAATTACTACTCTCTTTACTCATACTCTGCTTTTAACATCTGTAGATAAAATGAGGAAGCATCACATTTTCTTTTTACTCCTTACTTCTCTTAACATCCTTAATTTGATCATGGTGGCTGCTCCACAGCTCACTCATGGATACGCTCCATGCGCACTCAATTGCTTTGGTCATTTTCATCTTTTTGAGTTGAGGGGAAAAAAAAAAAAAAAGGGGGCAAACTTGGTTATAGAAGGAATAGAGAGAACACCCAGCACAAGGAGAGAAGAACCAACACATCGCAGCAAAGCTCTGCTCTTGTACCTTGCCAATATTTTCATCAGATTAAAGGAAAAGATTGTAAGAAAACTAGTTAGGAAAAGAGGGGGTGTCGTGTGTGGTTTTTCTTACCTACTTCTTCCTCTTTTGTTTCTTGGCCACTGGCTAAAAACTCCTTTTCAACTCTGAGCACTTCTTCCTGGCAGTGACAGGCTGCATATCTTTCCAAGAGATTTTTGTTCAAGTCAATAAATGCCTGACCCCACTTAAATTTCCTTAGAAGAATGGTGGCTAGGTCTGGGAATCCTAGAACAGAAAATAAACAATCGGGTTTCTTTTTCAGTGTGAGATTTCATTCAGCTTACTAAGTTCAGTACACACGAACCTATCACCACATGAATGATTCAAGCTCTAGCTCCCACAGTCCTTCAGTAAGACAGCAGCTGTAAATACAGTATTTTCAGAAGATGAGATTTATCTGCAGTCTAGTCCTGTCAAGAAAGCTGTGATGAGTCTGCAAAACATTGCAAGAGGGGACAGTTAATTTTGTTCTTAATCAGAACCCAGCCTATTAAGAGCAAGCTGTTTCCTGTCATTAAGACAGAGGTGCCCAATGGATTCATGCTCTGTCTTCTCCGGCTTTTTAAAGAGTTTTTAGGTTTTCGGAACATGAAGCGCCATCCTGACAAAACCAGGCTTATCAGTTTACGTGTCCAGTTTCATAGCTGCCACAAACTCCCCACAGATAACTCAGTACTACCAGATACAAGTACTTGGGAGAAAGCTAGACAATCCGATTCCAGACTCAACTTAAGCGATGACCAGGGGGACAGCACTACAGTTTATTCTATTGCAGATTATCTCTTCTGATTTATTAAGGATGTAAGAATTGCTGGTAACATTTTTCACATCAGACACGTTACAGCCTACCGACAATGCAAAAGGCTGCAGCAAAAGCTTCCACACAGGACAGTTTGCACGGCCGACCATAGTTCACAGGATTTGCAGCCACCAAGTAAGGCAGCAGCCGTAGGTGATTTCCTCTCATTCTCTTAAAGGGAGTTTCTTCTAATTTGGCCCATGAGCAATCTATGACTGCGATTCCGCTCTGGGCAACGACGTGCCTGCAACAACAAACATCGCTGTGCTTGAAAAATCACCATCAACGTATTGATAAGTGAGAATTACAGTTGCCGCTTTACACTGACAATTTGCACACCAAGGCATACGTTTTACAAGGATCTAAAATACAGATGCAATGAGAAAGATTAACAACCTGCTTTTTGTCCGAACATGCATGTGGCAAAAAAGGTTTATGCATAAACTTCATACTGAAAGTGAAAAGTTCTAGGTTTAAAAATGTGACAGGAGAGTGTGATTAACAGTAATGTTCACATTCTTAAAAGTACACCAAAATTCAGCTTTAAGTTTGCTGCTCCCTTCTGAAGCCTCAGCTTCTCTCCACGTAAATGCATCTTTATAAAAATTCTGCAGGCACATTTGAAGAAAATTCTCAGCATTTCCTCCCAGTAAGTTTTCCAGCTAACGCGCGGGGCTGCCCACCTGAAGAACCTGACACGGAATCGTAAAAGGTACTGCAGCGACAGGCCTGTGATTTTGAACAAATTAACCTACAAACCACATGCTTTGATTTCTCACTGGGATCTAGATGCTCTTTTCACCCGATAGCAGCTGTGTAAAACTGTTAACCTGACTTAACAAAACGCCTCTATTTCTCCTGTCCACGCACCAGTGGAACGCAACAGGAAGGTCAGATTTATCCTGCAGCACGGTTCCGGCCATGACCCAGCGGTTGAAGCGTCCTCCTCAGTAAAGGATCACCTCAGCACTCGAGCCAGGTGCGCCTCCGCGGGCTTTGCACACGGGCAGCGAAGTCACCCGGGCCTCGCCGGGACCCACCTGTCAGCCGGGGAGATGTGCTCGGTAGCCAGAGGACTGAGGACGAGGCCCGGGAATCTCTGGCGGAGGCGCAGGGTGCGGAGCAGCCCTTTCCGGGCTAGTTT